AAAAAAAGATTCTGTATTTCCATAAGTGGGGTAAAACTATGGAATAATTTAAGTGTGGACATGAAAAATAGTACTAGAATTGAGGAGTTTAAATATAAATATAAATGTATGTGTCATTCAAGATACATGCAAGAATAAGATTTATTCGAGAAGGCATTAAGGAAACACTGTTTTATCTATGTAGAGATACTTGCTTGCAGCCAATGATGCATGAAATTTTTGTATAATATGATGTTATGGGGTAGGACTGGATAAGTCTGACTTCTTCCTACTCCATTCAAACATGTAATAGGTGTAAGCAAACTGATTTTGGATTGGCATTGGTTGGATATGTGTAATTATGTGTGTGTTGCTGTCATTTGTTCTGTTCTGCATGTTTGAAAGAATCAATCAATCAATCAATCAATCAAGGTCTGAAGGTCAGTTTGAGGATTAATGCACCTTCAGTCTGTCAGTGTAGGAGGAGCTGCAGACAGTCGATGGCACAGCAGGTACATGTCGGAGGAACCAGTCAGATGTGTTTCTGTTGCCATTACTGTGCAGTGAAAAGACAAACATGTCTTTTGATTTTTCAGATGGTGAGTTTGATGTTATGGCCCCGTGAACAGTTTAAAGCTGCATTTATTGTTTTTTGGACTCTACTGGGAGGAAAATCTAAGCCTGTAAATCTAGGCCTGGTATCTAATTACAAATGTCATTCAAAACGTTTTCATGAAGTCGAGACGACAGACTGATGCCCAGGAACTTGTGTCTCTTACCCCCCGATCAGTAATAGGTTCACATGTATAAATTGAAGAACAAACGGATTGTTGTGTAGATGAATTAAATTTAGTAAATGACAAATGAATGACGACAGACTTGTGAGACTCGTGTCCCCTCAAAAAGTCTGAACACGACACCCCAAGGAAAATATGAAAGGTACAAAGTCAGAATTCTCTGAAATGTGAACGTGCAGCAGAGTTTTATCAATAGCTAGATTTAGTCCACATTGCTCGTTCACACACGTCTGTTTCACCAGAAATGAAACTTGGACTTGGCCCTGCTCTTCAGCTCAGTGTATCATCGGTGGATGACTTTATAACCTGCCATAAAAGGTGATTGCAGGGAAGGAGGGCAAAGTAAACTGCAGACGCTTCTTAACACCTGTGATTCAGGTGATCCATCCAGTGTGGGTTTCCAAGTTTGAGCTGATATGGAGCTCAATGGTTTGGTTCGGAGCAGTCTCCTCTTCATCTTCTCAGTCTGTGGGTGTGTCGTCAGCGGAGTTCCTATAGGTGAGTGGAGCCAGAACAGATTAAATGGACATAAAAAATGGACAAATGTGACGTATAACGAATGAAGAAAATGATGTGTTGAAGGCTGTTGATTAGTCAGCAGTTGGACAGAGTCTTCTGCTTCTGTAGTGTTTTGTTCAACCATTCATCCACCAAAAGGTCAAATGTCACTAATCTGTGGTCAGACCGCTTTGAGCCGTAGTGCTCCAAAGGCCGGTGTTATGAGCTGATTGGACGGGAGTAAACAAGCTTCGATGTCACTCAACTTTGGATTTTTGACCACTGAAAGTATTTAACCAACAGTTTTGGGGAAACAACTTTGAAAACGTAGCTTTGCAAACTATCAGGACATGGCCAAATTGCCCGTGATAAATGTACCGTGGTTATAAATGTGCAACGTGAACATTGGACCGTGGCACATCAAACCCAGACATTCTTTACAGGTGAAGGTGAAGGAGGAAGTGGTTTTTGTTCTTTAGTTCAGCCTCCATTATGTGACTACTCTCCATTCACTTGTATTTCTCTCTCTTTCTAAAGGGACTTCAACAATAGATTGTAATGGTGGTGGGACTCTAGATCTGGGAGTAGTGGATGAAGGGTATACAGGTAAGGTGGATACAGGCTCCCTTCTAATCTGCAGGTTGCAAAGTCAGATTAATCTAAAGTCACTCTGCAACTTTCTTCATTACTAGTGGAACATTTATAACATTATACTGGAAAATGTAGTGTTTAATTAAAAGTGGTTTCAGATTTAATAAGGTACATTTATAACTGTCCAAACTTATCACCGTCTCTGAATCCTGGTTCCTGTTGAATACCTGTTTGTGGTCTTGGAGATGCTGGAATACAACACTTGTCCATCAAATGTCAAAATGATGCTGATTTTGGTTTTTCCTTCTCGTTCTGCTGCCACGATGCTGCAGGCGATGTGGAGTTGGTGAGTGGGATCACAGCAGGAAGCGGTGTGAAGCTGGTGCCCAACATCTTCCCCGCCCACCTGGAGTTTCTGGAGCTGAGCTTCACGCTCGGAGACACCGCCGCCACAGTTCGCACCACGAAGCCACTGGACGCTGACGCACTGGCAGCTGTGAGTCTGTGCAAACCTGGCTCCGAGAAACAACGTTTATATACTGCTGATGTGCAGCAAATACATTTCAGTACTTTGATTGTTTTCTATTGAAACGAGAATATACAGAATATCTCATTAGTTCACCCCACAGTACCTGCTGATGCACTTCAGTAGCTTCTCAGAGCAGCTACAGCAGGATTAAGGTTTTTTATGGTTATGTTTAAGATACTTAAGCATCATCTTGTTCATGAGTGAGACTGACGGGCGGTGAGGGACAGCATCAGCAGCAATGCAGACATTGTACCAGAATGTCATGGTGAAGAAGGAGCTGAGCTGAAAGGCAAAGCTCCTTCTCCTCCTCCTCCTCCTCTTCCAGTCTACGCTCCAACCCTCACCTATGGCCACGAGCTGTGGGTAGTGACTGAAGGAATAACACCATGAATACAAGTGGCTGAAATTAGTTTTCTCTGTAGGGAGACCAGAGTTAGCCTTAGAGACAGGGTGTGGAGCTTGGACATCCAGAAGGGACTCGGAGTAGAACCGCTGCTCCTTCACTTTGAAAGGAGCCAGATGAGGTGGTTCGGGCATCTTATCAGGACGCCTCCACTGAAATCTGCATCGTGATTCAGTCTGTTAGAGACCCATTGTATATGGCACCGGGTTTCCATGTCCATCTTATTTGCCAGAGTCGTGTTCAAAACCTTTTAGAAGTGAATGTTTCTGCACTGGTCGATGAGTCTGGGTCCCAGGAGGCTGAGACAGCTCGTCCCCACATTTTGGAACAGATTTCTACAACAAAAAGGTTTGAAAAAGTTACAAACTGTAGCTTTAACAAAAGTGCTTTTGTTCTACTGAAAGATAAATTCACCTTTCTGTTAAAAAATGTTCTTAAAATGATGATGGCTCACTTGTTTCTTTGTGCACTGAGTTGTGGGTCAGTGTCATTGGCCTTGTTGAAGACAGACTTCAGTGTGAGAGACGGGCAGAAAATCCAGTTTCCTTTGTGTAAAATCACTCACCTGCAGCTAAGATGAGGCTTCGGAGGTCGGAGCTGGTGTCTTCCAAAGTTCGTCTTCAGTACAGAATTCTCTCTTTGTGCTTGGGCTGACTGTGTTTTTGCTGAGCTGAGGAGGAGGAGGGACAGTAACACTTCAGTTTCAGTTGTGCACTAAGTTGTGTAAGTCTGTGTCTTACAGAGCGACAACGTCTTGTACTACTCTGTCATGTGCGACGGCCTTATTAAGGTGGGTGAAATAGCCACGTCTCTATGCAGCAGTAGTCAACATTATAAAACATTTGAAGTGATATTTTTGTCTTCACAGTACAACAACACTCGGACGCTTAAACTCAACGACCTCAACGACAACAGCCCGGTGTTCACACAGAAACACTACGACGCCACAGTGTCAGAGGTGGGTCGCTGCAGACCTCCTGGGCCTCTGCTGCTGTGGAAGCAGGTTAATGGTCTGAGCCACAGAGTAATCAGAATCTCTGGGGAAGCCAAAGCCACCGCTGTTGTTTCTATCACACTTTACATACTCGGATTGCAAATGAAACACGGAGACGTCTTTTTTCTATCAGCGTGACAGTTTGGTTCTGGGTGAAATGGATCAAAACCAGTTTGAATGATGAGACCTAGACAAAATATCTGATAAGGATTCAGCACTAACATTTGATGGTGTGAAGATTAAGTGAATATTGCTGTTTGGTTTGTTGTGTACCAGACCCTGTAACTGCTGAAACCTCATGTGAAGGGATACAAACCCTCTAATAAGAAAAGGCATGTGGAGCAGAAGCTAATTTCCAAGGATCCGGTGGGATTTTAGGTCTTTTTGCAAGAAAAAATGAAATTGAAAATGTTTGTTTCACCTTTTTATACCTCTACCTGGCCGAGCTGACTCCAGACTAATGTTAGCACTAGTGTCACCTTGCCTACTTCTCATTGGCTAACCCGACTACAAGCCTCTTACCCAAAATGCTGCCAGAAGTATCTGATGTTTGAATGATTGTGAGGAAATGATTGTAGTCACAAATACTGCGATCACGTTCAGCTTTACTTGAAGAAAGTCCAGAACATTGATGTATACATTTACATGCACGTCACTCAGCCTTTTGCTCTTTCAGGCACAACGTGTGGACTCCGAAGTTCTTCGGGTGAAGGCTGTGGACGGAGACAGCTCCTCAGCAAACAACATTGTGACATATTCCATTGTAAGATGATCTAACCATGATCTATTTCCTCTGGGCATCTTGTATGGGGAAACTGGTGACTGGTGCTGCAGAGCTCGGGACGCCACAGCTGAAGAACGCACCTGCAAATACACAAGCAGAGACAAACACTTTACATACATAAAACACTAGCAAATTGTGAAACCAGCTTAAAAACGCAGCATTAACACAGAAACACTTTCAGTCCAACACCACAAGAGATCAGAGCTGTCCAACTAACGTTTACCTTCTTTATTGTAAAAATATTGTTAAAAATAAAAATAGTTTAAATAAGCAGTACTTGTTAGTTGGGTATCATTGAATTCATAAGCCACCAGACATAACGGTAACAACAAAATTAAGCCTGAAGAGATACAAAGGCTAATAAAGCTGTGAATGTCAGTGTTGTCATACTTACCTGGTTTTGCAGACGACTGTATATTATATATTTAGGATTAAAACATTCCAGTCTCCACCTAATGGGGCTGGATAAATGACATGGAGTCACTGTTGTGATAAGAACCAGTATCTTATATGGAAATGTGATGGTCACTCTCCTTCAATAGGTGCCGGCTTCAGAAGACTTCACGGTGAACAGCGTAGGGGCTTTTATTTTGAAGAGACGCTTGAACTACAATATAGTCCAGCAGTACAACTTCACTGTGACAGCTCAGGCAAGTCAATGTAAAGACTCAGAACACCATCAGTGTGTGGTGTGAATCCTCAGGTAACCTGCACCGTCTTTGTTTCCTGCAGGATAACGAGGGGTTAAATGACACAGCCAGCATTCAGATTAATGTGGAGGACTTTGACAACCTGAATCCTTACTTCAGCCACAGCCTGTACCAGGCCTCCATTCCAGAGAATCAGGTGAGTCTCCCAGGTTTACCACCACAAGACTTCGCTGTCACGGTGTCGGCCAGGTGCACAGTCGGTCCAGAGTGCGTCGATTGTGGCTCATCTCTGAGACCAGTTTGATGTTTCCCATCATGAAATACTTTTATTGCTACAGACACAGTCATTTTGACTGTTTTGCATTTGAATATAGTAGAATCTGAATCCAGGTCCCTTCAACGTAATGTTTTTCAGGCTGGGTCATTCCACACCATCCAACCAGAGGCGATAAAGGCCCAGGATGGAGACACTGGTATCAACGTGAGGGTGACGTACAGCATCAGTGCAGGTAAATAAGAATTTAAAGCTTTGAATTCAGCTTTAAGTTTTAGAAACAAATGAATTAATAGTATCCGTGTTTAGTGTCTCCTGACAAGTACCAGAGAAACTTCAACATCGACTCAGACAGTGGCGTTCTGACTGTGGTGACCGCCCTGGACAGGGAGGAGATGGACAGCGGCGTGGTCTCTGTCAGCATCAAGGTACTGATGTTTTAATGTGCCCTCACCGATCACAGTGGAACATCAGAATGAAGCGAGTTAGGGTGTCACTGCTTGGAAACACACACATGAAATCTGGTTACGTTTCTTTGTGACTGGCAGCAGCATGAACACAGTAGCACCATCATTAGAAAGCAGCTCGTCCCTGGGCACAAAGGAACCACGACCTCTGAACCCAAACTGACAGCAGAGCCACACACCAGGCTTTTATTTAGCCAGAGAACAGTGGGACTGATGTTTCTGCAACCAGAGGTCACCGCTGTCACACCAGTTTGTTATTGGTTCGTTTACTAAACCGAGTACTGCAAAGTGAATGTACTACGTTGTACATACTATATAACTTGACTGCATCAGTAACTGCTCCCTAATGCTTATACTGGACTGTCTGCAACATCCGGTCGGTTTATACCAACTGAATGACAACGTGACCTCAGACACCTGGATGCGCAGTGCACATCAACACACAACCTTCGTCTGGATTTCCTCAGAAAGACTAAAGCAACATGAGTTACTCTAAACCAGTGACCATCTATAATATTTTCTCCCTCATGATTTGCAGGCGGCCCAGACAGATGACGGTTCGAAGACAGCTGATGCTATGGTGTTCGTCACTGTTGAGGATGAGAACGACAACGCTCCAGAGTTTGAGCTGCCCATCTACTCGGTATCTCTCTTGGAAAACTCTCCTGTTAGTGTCGTTTTGTTCAGAGCCCTCGTCACTGACCCGGACCAGGTACGCCTGATTTAAAACCACTGAATATACCAGAGATGGTTTCTGTGATTCTGACTATTTTATTGCCTTGTTACAGACACGAAGGGGACACTGTGTAGACAGGGTGAGCCGGCAGCCGACGTCTAGCTTATAGGACAAAACATCCTGATGTCACGAACATGTTGATTACAGTTATTCCATCCATACATTATCTATACAGCTTATGCTGAAGAGGGTCGCGGGGGGGCTGGAGCCAATCCCAGTCTGTCACAGGGCGAGAGGCGGGGTCCACCCTGGACAGGTGGCCAGTCTGTCACAGGGCTGACATGTAGACTAACACCAACCCTCACACTCACTCCTATTGGCAGTTTAGAGTCGCCAGCCAACCTAAGCTGCATGTCTTTGGACTTGAAGCTTGAAGAGCCACCAAAGCTACATCTACACTACCTCACAATTTCCGTCACAATTGACGCAGAGCGACGTCACTTCACACCTCTAGTACAGAATGAATTCACAGGCTGGCTCGTGATTATGCTGCACTTATCTTGGTCTGAACGGTGCACACACAGACGCTGCAGGTTGGCGACGTTGGCAGCAGCGCGGGATCTCGGTGTAAATGTCATTCTTGACCTACAAACAGATAATGAAGAGCTTTCCTCACACGAGCGTACTGTTCAGCAGCAGCGACTCTAACCCAGACCACATTTCTTGTTTAATCGCTTTCCCAGGGAGGGTTTGAGGGAACTTTGCAGGTCCTGCCAGAATCCACTCCTTTCTCTATCAGCCCTGATGGGACGGTGCGGGTGAATGACTCCGCGGCTCTGGACAGGGAGACCACTGAGATCTTCACGTTTCAGGTGAAAACATGACCACTGTTGATGGGTTTCATGGGCGCTTTAGTTTGGGCCTTTTGTGGAATCTATGGACAAGATGGAAAATACAGAATGTCACCAGACTTTTCTTCTGATATGCAAAATAAATGTTTTCTTTAAAAATGTGAAGTTGCTGTTCTACAGAGAATGCCAGTAGAGGCTTGGTGTGTTGACCACTATGGTAAATTAGACATTTAACTATTAAAAGACGCTGTTGTCTCTGCACCTGATCGCACTGCACACACAACGTAAATGCTGCTCTCTTGTTAATGACAAGATCAAAGCGAGGGAGACGGATCCACCCAACAACGTTGCAACAGCAAACGTCAGTGTAACTCTCCTGGATGAGAACGACAACAGTCCTATGTTCTCCAGGAAAAAGTACGAGGGAAAGGTGTTTGCAAACCAGACGGTGGGAATGTCGCTGGTCCAGGTGAGTGGTTCCAGGAGTTCTGCCAAGTCAGCTGTTGTTCTGATAGTGATGTAAGTCTTGTTGCCATCACATCATAAGGTCTGTGTAGATGTTTGTTGTCCCAGTGTTTAACTTGTGTCCCAACACTGTGGCGTTCTCGTTACACAGTACTGCTGATGACTCACTTCAGTAACTGACCCAGAAATATTTAACTAGTCGCATCATAAAATAAATCCCCACACTGTTCAAGGGTCCCGCCACCATGTTGAACATCTGTATCCAAACCCTTCTGACTTATTTTTATGCTGACAATGTGTAACTTTGTCTTTTTCATTTGACATTTTTAAGACAATGATTTGTTAAAATTTGCCCCAAAGGTTCAGGCAGAGGATCCGGATGCTGATGTAAATGGGCAAATCAAATACTCTATTGACTTTGGGGACGACGACGGCTACTTCTCAGTCAATGAAAGCACTGGAAACATCTTGCTGGCTAAAACCATTCCCCTGGTGGAGAACAGGATTTTGGAGTTCCCGCTCTACATAACGGCCCGAGATGGTAGATCCAAACAGGTTTTCTCAGTGTTGCCTGCCAAAACCAATCAATCATTAAAGTCAAGAATCACTTCCTCACTGTGAACAAATCATTGTTATGTGATTTATTCTACAAGAGCCAATCAACTCCAAAAACTTTTTAAGCCACATGTATGGAACAAATCCTGGCCCACAGTAAAAACCAGCAACCTGCCAGTTAAGTTCTGTCAGGGCAGAATCATTTCCTATGTGGACTGAACCTTTTAACTGCTCCACCTGATCAGTGGAGTCACATCAACAGCCTTGTCAGTATCAAATGCTTAATGACCACAGACTTGTCATCAGGCTCTTTCCAATCACAGACACACACCTTCATTTGATTCAGCTCTCGACCATATTTACTTTCATCTTTCAAAAATGATTTTTACATCTCTGTTCCTTAGCCCTGGTGAACCTGAACAAAGTTAAAGCCACCGCTGATTAAAACCCACAGATGTGATTCGTAGAGCTTTGACTGAGGTAAAAGTCCAGTTTCCTGTGTAGAGGATAGTTTCACACAGCAGCAATTCAAAGTGCTTTAACATGAGAAAACACATTTTATTGCCAGTGATCTTGTCCACAGATGTAAAAGCTCTGGGCTAACAGAACTCTAAAGATCTCGGTAAGCTTCACACGTTGTCGTATCACAGAACAACATCTGGAAGCCTCCTTTCCAACCAGAGGAAGCTTTGCCTGACAGTTTTTGTAAATGGACAGACGTGACGATCCAGCAGTCACAGCCGGTGTATGCAGTGTAGAAATATGGAGGTATAAAAATCATTTTTCACAAAATTACTCTGAGCATAACCCCAGACCCAGGCGACGCAGTATGGATGCCTTTAAAGAGGGAGGAGTGCATTGAAACCCCCATTTGTAGGATCCGTCACTTCAGGAAACAGTGGGATGCAGCCAGGAGTCGGTTCATTGTGAGTGTGACCATTTGGATCAGATATGAACACTTTAACTTCAGATGTGATCAGACGACTCGGTGGGCGACCTAGCTGCTGAGGCATACTGAGGCCTGTGTCTGGTGTGAAAAGCCTTACAGCAGATATAGAGGTAACTGTGGTGGTGTTATTGTGATGAAGCAGAGGCACGTCGACGGTGGAAGCTGCTCCCAGAATACAGGCAACCACCTGAGCCTGGACAGAAGGAAGGTAAAAGATCTGTCATTAATGATGTCCTTCTCCACCTCTCCTCTAGGGGGCGTCGTGTCCCGCTTCTCCTCGGCCCTGGTGAACATTCGTGCTCCCGGTAACTCAAAACCTCAGTTTTTAGAGAAAGACTACCGTGGCACCATAGAAGAAGAGCAGGACCCTGGGGTTGTGATTGTCAGGGTAAGTTTCTCCGTGCACAGACGTGTTCAGGTTGTCCACATCAAGCCAGTCACCGTATACATCCCGTTATCTTTGTGGTTTCAGGTTCGCTTCCTCTCAGCTGATGCTGTGACGTTGAGCGTTAAAACGGAACCAGACAAGTTCTCCATCTCCCCCGAAGGTGAACTCACCACCAAGGTGAAGCTCGACTACGACGAGGCCCCTCACAACTACTCCGTGGAGATCGTCATCACTGACGAGCTCAACAGTGACATCACGGTCGTGAAGGTTCACGTCACGGACATCAACGACAACAGTCCCGTCTTTGCCTCCAGTTCTGTCACAAGATCAGTCCCAGAGGACGCAGAGCCGGGATCCAATGTCACCGCAGTTCCAGCCACAGACAAAGACAGCGGCTTCAACCAGGACATCAGATACTCGCTGAGAGGAGGAGGCGGGAGCTTCTCTATCGACCCCGTGTCAGGGATGGTGCGTGTGGATGCTGCTCTCGACAGGGAGACGCAGGCGCAGTACGACCTGCAGGTGGTGGCCGAGGACCAGGGCCGCCCGGCCAGGTCGGCCACGGCCACCCTGCTGGTCCAGGTGTCCGACGTCAACGATAACGTCCCTAGGTTCCCTAAGGCCGAGGACGAAGTTAAAGTCCTGGAGACAAAGCCAGTGGGTACAGTCCTGCTCACATTGTCAGCCGTAGACCCCGATGACGGAGCCAACGGGAGAGTCAGCTACAGCCTTGTCCAGCAGAGTCCCTCGTCAGACCCGGCTGTGTTCGAGCTGGACTCCTCCAGCGGGACTCTGCGTCTGGTCCAGCCTCTGGACTACAGCCAGGTGAAGGTGTACAGGCTGGAGGTTCAGGCCTCTGATGGGGGGACGCCCTCTCTGGTTGGGAACAGCTCTGTGGTGGTGTGGGTGCAGGACGTGAACAACAACCCACCTGAGTTCAGTAAGGAACGCTACGATGTGGCCGTGCCCGAGAACCTGGCCAGCGCGGCGTCCATCCTGACACTGGAGGTCACTGACAGGGACGAGGTGAGTGGTGCACAGCTGCGCACAGATGTTTTACCAGATGTCACAGCTGCAGCTCTGTGACCTTCCTCCACCAGAGCTGCTCACTGTATTTTGGTTTTAATGATAGATCCATGTATTGATTTGTAATCCAAATAACTTTTTACAACGTTGCTCATGGGCAGGAGTTATGACCATGTGGTCTTCAGGAGTAACGGCCAAATAAGTGGCACCTAAAAGAACGAGTGGGACAGAAAACAAATAACTTTCTCATTGGGTAAAGTTTGGAAGAAGAAACGTTTGGTGCCAGATTCGTCTTCAACCAGAAGAGAAAGCTGGTTTTTGACTTTCCAGTTCAGGACCTGGCGGCCACATAGTGGACAGTTTAATTCAGGCCTGCACCAGTCGGCCACATTTCACTGAAACCAATAAAACAGAAGACTTTCTGGACAACATGGATGAGACGAGCCCTGTTACAGTTCGGACCTTTGCACCGCTGCTTTATAATCACGGCCCTGATGCCACTTTATTACCCGTCGCCTCAGTACCTGCTGTTATTCCACTGCAGATCATTAACTCTGGCTGAGATTTAAGGCACTTCAACCTTATCTTCTTCTTCAGGGTGGATTCTCCAACGGCTACTTCCTCTACAACAACGACACCTTTGACATTAACAAACAAGGTGTGGTCTCCCTGAGGAAGGACGCCGCCCTGGACAGAGAGACAAAGGACAGCTACATATTACAGGTACAAACATTGTGTTACGCCACGGGATGGGTTTTGTTAAATGAAGAGGTTAGGGCACGAGACAAATCTAACGATGTGCACAGCATTTATTTTAAAATGTAACTGTGTTTCTTCTTGTGTAAAAACAATGTGTATTCTACAAATCACTAGAGCTGTGGAGTTGTTTTAGTTTCATAAGCTTTAAAACTTTGGAGTTTAATCTTGTATAACATTGATTCTGATAGAAAGAGAAGAAAAATCTCAACTTGCTGTGACAGACACTAAAATACTGTCGTGATGTAAATAAAGAGACGGGGCAGAGGGAGCGGGGTAAAATAAACGTATGAAGAAGTGAACATTGTTCTTTTACACTACAAAACTCTTATGTAAGGACAAATATAACACACCTCTACTGCCACTATCCATCATTTACTGTCGTGTACAGGCACATCCACCTCTGATATGTTACGTTACGCTGGGCAGTCAACCTGAGCTGCATGTCTTTGGACTGTGGGAGGAAACCGGGGAGAACCCACACAGGGAGAACATGCAGACTCCACATAGAAAGGCCTCGGGTCGGCCGGGGCTCAAACCTTTTTTGCTGTGAGGCGACAGCGCTAACCACTTGTACACTCTGCTGCCCCACAGTAGAACATTTTGAATTTATTACAAAGTAGAAACGACAGATCCCTCTGTAAGGTTTTGACAACTGGTGCTGTGCCAGAGAGAAATCGCCCCATACAACAACCTGAGGAAGGAAAACCTGTTGTTTCTATGGAACAGAAGTGAAGTAAGACTGTCCATGTTCTCAGCTGACCTCATGAGGCTTTGTATGTCTGTACTCAGGTCGTGGCCGTGGATCAGGTCACTGACGGTCTGAGAGCCACGGCCCAGCTCAACATCACTGTCCTGGACTATAACGACAACGCCCCGCAGTTTCCGAGCATCGCAGAGCCCCTGCTGATCCCTGAGGGCGACTACTCAGAGGAAGCTCCAGGAGAGATTTCCACCATCGTGCCCACAGACGCTGACCTCGGCCTCAACGGAGAGGTCACGCTCTCACTCGCCTCCTCGCTCCCGCTCTTCAGATTCAGAGAGGTGAGGCCAGGAGAGGGGAGTTTTTTTTCAGCCTATGTTGTGTCTGCGCTCCAACTCTGAGGTCATGTGTGGCGTTGCAGGACGGGACGTTGCTGGCTGTCGGAGCTCTCGACCGGGAGAGCAGGGACACGTACGAGCTGCTCGTGAAGGCCTCGGACAAAGGAAGCCCACAGAGAGAGGTGAGAGACGGACGCAGGCTCCTGAGGCATAAATACTGTGGGTGTTGTTTTTGATCCGGTGGATTACAGCGACAAAACAGCAGCTTGGTCATGGAAATGACAAATGTGTTTGAAAGTTTAAAACGTGAGCCCACCAGTACAGCCCATTACACCCCAACTGGTTCAAACTGGTTGGTGCTTTATTGGCATCAGTTGTTGACAGGAAATGTTACCAACACCTAAAAACAAAGATGTTTATCTGAATTAGTCCCATTTCTCTCTTTGAGAGTTTTGAGGATTGAACCGGATGAGCTCTGATTTTTATTTGAAAAATTCTTTTCTCTTGTGAAAGTTTGAATCATGGCAAGAAGGAAAAAGAGGAACAAGCATTTCCCAAAATACAAGAAACTCACATCTGACTGAAATATCAAAATTCATCATTGCTTTTTAACAGAACAATCAGAATCACACAAAACCATCAATGCTTTAAAATCAGAACTTAAATCTTTATATTTTGAATACTTTACTTTGACTAAACATTGATTATCATTGATTAGACATTGATCAAACAATTATCAGTCAAACCTTTTCCTCAATATGGTGTGTGTCTCTTCTGTGTGGCAGGAGACACGAACCTTTGCAGTTCCTCATTTTAGGGATGTTTGTCTACCTCCTCTTCACTCTGTTAGATGTAAAATCAGTTTCCCCGTCCTTTCAATACAACCATTTCACATTTTATTTAACACATTCACTAATGATTAGGTCAAACAAAACACACAAATCATTTTCTGATTATCTTTACTTATTAAAAGCTTAACTTTCTAAGCATTCTGCCAAAGCATTTTAATGATGATTCCTTCGTCCTCTCCAACCTCCCCTGGAACTTCCTGTTTCTCCTCTGCCTTCTTTGTGTCTCGATGCTCTTCGAGGCCCGTATTCACAGCCTCGCTGACAGAGTCCTGGAGGCAGAACATTTTAACTTAAAACATTTAATGAATGACCCAGTTCTCTATTAAACTGAATCTCATGCACCAGAACTTCACCACCGTCACCGTGCGCCTCCTTGACGTCAACGACAACAGGCCTGAGTTCAGCTCCAGCAGCTACGTCAGCAGCATCCTGCTGAGAGACGCTGAGGAGGGGAGGCTGCTGCTGACGCTGTCCGCCACCGACAGAGACGCCGGGGACAACTCGCTCATCAGCTACAGGTCAGTGGTGACGTCTCGCAGCCTGCACGCTGCTGACAGTGGCATTTTAAGTTTGTGTCTTATGAACACGCCACATCTCGCCGACGGTGTTGTGATGAAACTTCACTGAACAATGTGTTTTCATGATGATGCAGTGGTTTGATGGTCAGTTTATTGTTGTGGTGTTTGTGTTTAGGTGTTGAAAGCGTTTCTCTTTCCTCTGCTGTTGCAGCTTCAGTAGCGGAAGTTCTCCGTACTTGGCCCTGAACAATGAGACCGGGGCAGTGACCCTGACCTCTGACCTTGCTGATGTCACAGAGGACACCACACTGGAGCTGACAGCCATGGCCAAAGACCACGGTCGGCCTCCTCTGAACTCCACAGGTCGGTCTGACAGGAAGTGGAGGGCTCTGTAGAAAATGAAAGCGAAGGTGTTGTTTCCTTGTCGCACCGCCACTCTGGTGTGTGCTCAGATGGACATTTGAGTTTTCTAATGCTTTAGCTTTTAGTGTTACAGCTGCACAAGTTCAAGCTAATTCTAACTCATTCCTTCAGCACAACGCTGCGCCCTGTGTCACAAGATGATCCCATAACCTCCACCACACCCAGCTGTCACATTGGTCCGGTGGAGTAAATACACTCCGTTTATTTCCACTGTCTTTGTGCAGAAATGCTGTTTTAAATTTTCAGCCTGTGTATAATGGTCCTGTAAGAGAATTAGCATCCGACCTTTCAGCAACATACGGAACCTAAAACTTAAACGTTCTACACTACTGTGGTACTTAACGTGCTCACGCTGCCCATGTCATCGGTGCATGTGGTCCAGAGGGTTTTCCTGGAAACAACAGTGTTTAGAAACAGCCAACAGCCTATTGGGGTGTGTGCTGACTGTGCCTTATTTCCCTGCAGCCCGTGTAGTGGTGTGTCTGAGGGTCGCCAGTCTGGTGGAGGGCGTGGGCTTCCTCAGCCCCGCCTACAACTTCAGCCTACCTGAGAACCAGCCGGCGGGGGCGGTGGTGGGGGGGGT